CAAGCTGTGCAACTCTCATTTCACTGATGGGGAAACTGAAGATCAGAAAAGCAACAGGCCCTGCCCCAGGGTTGCCCAGGAGTAAAGGGCAGAACCAGTATGCGAACTCAGGCCTGTGGGAGGCAGTGCAGTGAGCTGATTAAATGCCTTGGCTCTGCCAGCTGTTTGACCTTGGCCATGTCATTTCACCTCTCTGGCCTCACTTTCCTCACCTGGAAAATGGGGATATTAAGAGAAATCATAGAGGAGGAAAGAGGACTCAACGAAGTAAGGCATGTGAAGTGCTGAGCACAGTGTCTGGGATCTAGGAAAGACTCATTACGTTTGGTAACCAATTGATTTAGTGAGTTATCATTATATTCTTATTATTGGTGGGAATGGTATTCTTTTCACTGTGCCAGGCTGCCTTTCACAGCTTAGTGCCCTTTCCCATAGGTGAGTTTTGTTTTCTGCCAAGTGCTGGTGGAGTTTCCAGCAGGTGATTGAAGCAGATACCCTGCTGTTGATAGGTCTGTTATTACAGTCCTGGGATGAAGACTCCGTTTTATTCCCATGTGAAGGATTTATGGAGAAGTGACTGGCAGGCCGTGGGGTTTGTTTTCATCCTTAGTATTCAAAGGCGGGGACCACAGCCGTCTGTGTGCTCCTGGGTTCCTGTCTGCTCTCTCCCCCCAGAATCTTCATGTCCCGGAGCTGGAGAGGCCAGGTGGGGGTGGGAATGGGGGAGGGACTGACCCACGCCACCAAGTGAACTGGGCTGGAGCCTTGGTGTGAGGCCCCCAGGCCAGGCCTGGCTTATTCCATGCCCCAGCCACACAGCCTGCAGGAAGCGTCCATCCGGGTTTGAGGCGGGCGCTGCCACTCTGTCCTCAGCCAGCCTCACTGACGTCCCCCAGGTGTGAAGCTCGCCTTCCCTCGCCCCACCCGCGTCGTAAGGCACACACCTTGTCTTAAAGGAGCTCCAGAAGTCGGCCTCCTCTGCTGCCAGCCCTCCCCAGTGGTCTTCCTAAAATCCGAATCTGAGCCTTTTCTCTCCTGCTTGGAGCCCAGGCTTGTTGACCTCGCTCACTGCCCCACACAGGCTAGTGCCCTACCTTCCTTCCCTGCCACTCTCCCACCAAACAGAACCCTGCAGTGATCCCAGGGGGCCTTTCTCTGTCCTGTTTCTGAGCTTTTGCACACGTTCTTGCCCTCCCCTTGCCCTGGTTGACCCCCTTGGCCTTCAGGCCTTGGAGGTCATATTTCTGGGATGCTCTGCCTGTGGTCGGGCTCCCAGGAATGGACTCTGAGACCAAGATTTCCCTGAAAGAGGTTTATAGGAATGTGCCTGTGGTAGACAGAATAATGATGCCCCAAAGACATCTACCTCCTAATCTCTGGAGCCTGTGAACAGGTCACTTTACATGGCAAAGGGACTTTCCAGGTGTGATTAAGATGAGGATCTTGAGATAGAGACATTATCCTGGATTATGTGGATGGACGCAATGTGATCACAAGCGCCCTTAGAAGAAGGCAGGAGTGTCAGAGTCAGAAAAAGGTGGTGTGATGCCAGGAGCAGAGAGAGAGAGAGAGATCAGAAGATGCTACACTGCTGGCTTTGAAGATGGAGGATGGAGCCATGAGCCCAGGAATGCAGGTGGTCTCTAGAAGCTAGAAAAGGCAAGAAAATGGGTTCTCCCCAAGAACCTCTAGAAGGAATGCAGTCCTGTAGACCCACTGTAGACTTTTGACCTCCAGAGCTTTGAGGTAATAAATCTGTGTTGTTTTAAGCCCCTAAATCCATGGTCATTTATTACAGCAGCAATGCAATGCCCTGGGAACTCCACCAGAAAAGGCATGAGGAATACAGGACTGGGCGGAGGGAGGAGTAGGCTGTGATACCATCTCTGCAGAGGCCTTGGCTGGTCCCAAGGGAGCTCTGGAGCTCTGGGGGTGACTTGCAAGGTCGTCCTGAATTGAGGCAGGGGTCAGGCTTTCGCTCGTCTGCATCAACTAGTCATTGGATGGGAGCTGCTCCAGGGAGGCTGTGACCATAGGTGAGGCAGGTCCTGGCAGGCACTCGGCTGTGAGCCATCAACAGCCGATACTCCAGCTCAGGGGTTCCTCTGAGGACAGGGACCCAGTTAGATTCTCCCCTGAATCTGTGCCCAGTGCGGAGTTGGGGTTTGGTTTGCACTGGATGGAATACCAGCACCGGCTCACATGCGCATGGCCTGTCCCTGGTCTAAGAAGCAGCCCATGTTCATTCTCTCTCATGAAGAAGGCTTCCTCATTCTTTCCAGATCATACCTGCCCAGGCTCGGCGCCATGGCTTGCCCAAGAGGGACATTTTGAAGATGATAACAATAGCTGACGCTGTGTGAGTGCTTCTGCAGTCATGATTCTAAGTGCCCCAAGTAGATACACCCGTTCATCACTCACAACAACCCAATAAAGTTGCTGTGATTGTTATCCCCATTTTATAGATGAGAAAACTGAGGCACAGAGAGGTGAAGTAACTTGCCCAGTGTTACACACCTAGCGAGTGTCATTGCCGGGATTAAACTTCCACAGTCTGGCTTCAGAGTCTACACAGGCAGCCACCACACTGTCACCTCCCAAACACACAGACCTGGATGTGATGAGGGACCAGGGTGAACCAGGGTGGACCTAGGTCACCTCAAACCTATCCCAGCCCTGGAGCTGCACTGGGGGAGGGACGGGGCTAGGAAGTTGTTCCCAAGTCCGACTTCAAGCGTCCCCAGAGCCTGCTGTTCGCAAAACTCTGACATTTCTGGGTGACTGCTCACAAGTCCCCCTGAGGCTTCTGTGGGCCTCACGGATGCTCTCCTTATAATGTGGCCATGGTGTCTGATGAGGGGATGGGGGGCTGGCTCTAGACTAAAGGGGCTGGGGCCACTCCACTGGGCGGCACGGCCTGGCACTCTCCCACAGGGATGGGCCTCCCTGACATGCTGCGGAGTCTACAGTCTTAGAACCAAACCATGTAGAGTCCTTCTGTGTGTAGGGCTCTCTCCCAACAGTGGCCTGCCAGCCAGTAGGTGTCAGCTGCGGCTGTGTGGCCTTGTCTGGTTTTGTCCCGTGCAAAGTGGCACCAACAGTGGCTAACATCTATTGAGCGTTTACTGTGGGCCAGAGACTAGCCTACATTTGTCTCTCAATTTGATCCTCACCCTAGTAACCTTATAAGGCAGACACTATTTTCATCCTCATTTTCTAGGTGAGGAGGCTGAGGCACAGAGAAGTGAAGTAACTTGCCCAAGGTCACACAGCCGGGCCCCCACTGGTCAGTTTGGACTTGAGTCAGTCCTCTTCAGCACCACCCTGCTGACCTCCGGCGGTGGGGAGGTCGAAGAATGAAGATAATAAATGTCAAAAGCTTCTCCTGGGGCTTCCCTGGTGGCGCAGTGGTTGAGAGTCCGCCTGCCGATGCAGGGGACGCGGGTTCGTGTCCCGGTCCGGGAAGATCCCACGTGCCGCGGAGCGGCTGGGCCCGTGAGCCATGGCCGCTCAGCCTGCGTGTCCGGAGCCTGTGCTCCGCAACGGGAGAGGCCACAACAGTGAGAGGCCCGTGTACCGCAAAAAAAAAAAAAAAAAGGCTTCTCCTGGTGGCTGGTGCAGAGCCCCTGATAACTCAGATGAATGACTTTTCGGAAATAGAAAGCTAGTTGGATGGCTTCCCTAACACCATGACATTTGCCCTCCCCTGATGCCCGCCAGGACCTCTACCCCTTCCTCTCCTGTGGGTGGTCACACTGTGCTCTCTCTCTCTCTCTCTTTTTTTTTTTTTTAACTGTGCTCTCTTTAGGCCCCTTACATGTCACTGGGTCTTAACTTGTTGTGGGATGTTTTCTGTCCTTTTGGGGTAGGTTCCAGCTGTTCTGGCCGCTTCTTTTTGTTAAGTTCCCCTTTCAGATGCAAGGCACACTTAACCTGCAGGTTCCTGCATAGATTCTGAGGCTTCCTGAATCTGCCCCAGCCTCTCCTGTCCCATCACCCACCTCCCCGGCCCCCATCCCCCCGCCCCCCGGAGCTCCCTGCTCTGGCCTCAGTGCCTCACTTCTCCGGTCCTGTGTGACGTGTGCTCCCCTCCTGCTGTCCCATGACCCTGAATGCCCCTCATGCCCTTGCCCTACGCTTGCCTGGCTGACTCCTGCTCACCCTCCAATCTCATCAGAGACGTCACTTTCTCCAGGAAGCCCCTCTCTACCCATCCCCCCATCTCCAGGCGGGACCATTGCTCCTCCTCTGCCCCCACACAGCCCGCAAGTCACCCCATCTGGCTCTGATCACGCGGTACCGTGAAGGTTTGTTTACTGGTCTCTGTGCCCCTCAGGACTCTGAGCCCTTGGGAGCAGGCCTGTGTCTGGGTCATCTCCACATCCCCTGGCCTGGCACTGGGTCTGCCCTTAGTGGGCGCTCCCTGTGTCTGTGGAATGAAGGGCTGCGGAAGTGACACTGCCGTGGCCTCTCAGGATGGATGGCAGAGCAGGAGACCCCTGGGGAGGCAGGAGACCCCTGGGGTGGCAGGTGGTGGGGCCCTGCACCTGGACTTAGCCTTGATCTGAAGGTGGGAAGATAGGAGGTGAGGGAGCTGGGTGGAGGGTCCGCAGCCTGACGGGTACTCCCTGACTGAAGGGCGTGTAGTCAAGGGCAGCCAGTGGAGGCCTAGAGAGTCTGTGGCCGCCATGCTGTGAGGAACACATGAAAACCTGGAGTGTCTAGAGTGTTAGCACCAGAGGGGTCCCTGGAGGCCCTCTCCTCAGCGCCTTCCTTTTACCGCACTTGTACCTGTGACCCATGGAGGGGAGAGGGGCTTCCGCAAGTCACCCAGCAAACCAGGGGCAGAGCTGGGGAAGAAACCGGAATGTTCCAGGAGATCTTGCAGGCCCGAATAGGTGTGCCCGTCAGAGTATGGGAGGGGTGTCTTTAGCCTGCCGCCCCCCAAAGTTCCTGGTGCCCTCCAGGCCCTCGAATACTCTCTTCCCTCCCTCCTGCAGGTGAACCTGGTGCTGGGGGATGGCCGGTCCCTGGGCCTCACCATCCGTGGGGGAGCCGAGTACGGCCTGGGCATTTACATCACTGGCGTGGACCCGGGCTCTGAAGCGGAAAGTAGCGGGCTCAAGGTGAGAGACCCCTGACTCCCAGGGAGGGGATGGGGCGCCAGGCTGAACGTGCTGGGGCGAGGGAGGGAAAGACCTGTGTGTGGAGCCCTGCGCAGCTGGTTTCAACAGGACGTCCGGCAGAGCAGTCGGCACCCCACGCGAAGGACCTGTCCCGGCGGAGAGCCCTCCCCTGGCTGCACGGCTCTAGTTCAGAGCTCAGAGCGGGCAGCAGGAGCCGCCACCACTCCCGAGCCCCGAGTTCTCCTAGTCATCCGCAGAGCAGGGCAGCCTCCCACGAGCTGCTGGGCAGCAGGCCAGCTTGAGCTCTTCGTGGCTGCTGTTCTGGAAACACTGCTGATGGCCTGTGATGGCCCTGACTTCAGGGTTGATCGCGGTACTCGGAGAGGGAAGAGGAGAGGAAGCTGCAGGCTGGGGTGGGTTTGCACCGCGCAGCCTCGGGGCTGGCGTTTGATCCAGAGCAACCAGCAATTAGCTGTCATTTTAAAGAGGGCTATCTGTGTGCCCAGCGTCCGCAATTGACATTATACGTATCATCTCATTGAACCTTATCCCCTGGGATAGTATGTTATTACCCGAATTTCCCGGTTGGGGAAACTGAGGCATGTAGAGGTTAAAGAGACTTGTTCAAGGTCATGCAGCTGATCAGTTGCAGAGCAGGGTTTGAGCCCAATTGTCTTAATTCCAAAGCCCATGGTCTTAACTGCTACACTGTATCCCCCGCTGGGGAGGGCCAGGAACTGGCTCAGAGCTTTGGTGGGGGAGGTGACAGTGAGTGAGACAGAGACTGTCCACAAGGGCACTGGACTCAGGACACCTAGTCACCTAGATAAATGGCAGCATGCTTTTGGGCTAAATCCTGGTGGCAGGGATGCCACAGCAGCAGTGACCCTGGGTACAGGTGGCGTTTGAGCCACATCTTGTGGGACGAGAGAGGCTGTTGGGTAAATGGGCTGGGCTGTGGAGCTGTCTGGTTGAAGGAGCCATGTGGTTTGACCGTGTGTGACTGGATGGGCAACTAGCCACATGTGAGGCTGGGAACGAAGGCATGAGATGAGGTCTTCCTAACAAAGGGCCTTGAATGCCCCACTGACGGAGGGAAGCGGATTCTCCATGCAGACGAGAAGAAGGGGCATGGCGGATCAGAGTGGTGGTCAGGAGACCTCTTCCCCCACCAAGCCACAAAGGATGAGGCTGGAGTGATAGAGAGACAGGAATGAGACTCCAGCCTTATCCTCCATGACGTGGCTCGGGGGGTTCTCTTAGGAAACACGGCATAATAGGAAGAGCTCTGGCTCTGGAGTCCAGATCCCAGCTTTGCTGCTTTTGCTTTAGTAGCTGTGTGACCTTGGAGAATCCCTCTACCTCTCTGAGTTTCCCTTCCCTTTCCCAGATAATAACAATATATAGCATCTCTTCCTCAGAAAAAAATGAGGAACAAACTCACAGTGACCTTAAAAATAAAGGTTAAAATTATTCAGGGTCTGTGTTATGGACTGAATGTTTGTGTTCCTCCCAAATTCATACCTTGAAACCCTAACCCCCAAAGTGATGATCCTAGGAGGTGTGGCCTTTGGGAGGTGATTGGGTCATGAAGGTAGAGCCTCATGAATGGAGTTAGTGCCCTTAGAAAAGGGACCCCAATGAGATCCCTGGCTGTCTTTCCGCCTTGGGAGGATACAATGAGAAGGAAGTTGGCGGTCTGCAACTCAGAAGAGGGTCCTCCCCAAAACCTGACCACACTGGCTCCCTGATCTCAGACATTCAGCCTCCACAACTCCAAGAAATAAATGTCTGTTGTCTATAAGCTATCCAGTCCGTGGTACTTTGTTATACAGCCTAGACTGACTGAGACAGTCTGCCCTTTCCCAAGCACTTCATGTCATAAAATCACCTAAACCTCCCAACACTCCTGTGAAAGCAGTTCTTCCGTTAGTCCATTTTATAGGCACAGTATCTGGGACTCAGAGAGCTGCACAGCTGTGAGAGGCAAAGCCGGGATTCCCATCCAGGAATCAGAATTCTGGTTCTAGAACTGTGCTGGTTACCAGACCAGCCTGGGCGGGGGTGGGGAGAGGAGTAGATGCCCCACAAATGTTGGTAGGCTCTAGGTGATTCTGAAATGCCCTGGGTCTCCGGCTTGCTATGCTCTCAGTAAGTAAAGATGATTTCTTGTTGGGACTCCAAAAGGAGACAATCTCATGGTATTCTATATGCAGATTGTAGTTAATAACTTTGTTATTTTGTATTAATTTTAGATTTACTGAAAAGTTGCAAAGAGATTACCCATTTGTTCTTTATCCGGCTTCCTCTAATGTTAACATCTTATATAACCATGATGCGTTTGTCAAGGCTAAGAAACTAACATTGGTACAATACTGTTAAACAAACTACAGGCTTTATTCAGAGTTCACCAGTTTTCCCACTAATGCCCCTTTTCTATTCTAGGATACAGTCCAATTCAGCATAGCATGTTGTGTTTAGCCTGTATGCATTTTTAATTCCATTTATTTTCCCCAAAATTTCAAAAAAGATTCAAGTCAGTTTCTAGACACAGAGTAAAGATTGTTTTAAAAGATTAAGTGAGGAAATTGGGAGGCAGAGAGAAAGAGAGAAAGCCAAGGTGAGAGTCCTTCCGAGAACACTCGCCGTGTGGGGCTGCAAACCGCTACAGGCAGCACACAGATTTGACTCCAAGCTTCCCGGCAGCCAGCACAAAGAGGGAAGCAGGTCAGGGACATTTGTAAGATGAAAACAGAACAACTGTGCTGCAGTGTCTTCAGTGACAGCAAATACATGAGCAGGTTCCATACTTTGTTGGTGGCGAATACACTCTTACTGAATCCATGTTAAGAGAAAGCGGGAGCGGGGAGCGGCAGCGTGCCAGAGAGATGACATGCTAGGTTCTGGCCAGAGAGGACTGAGCATCTCCCCCCCCCCCCC